CAGCTGGCCACAGCTGGGCCACGCCAAATTGCACCGAACAGTTCCTGCCTTTGTGCTTTAATTGCAAGCCACGATTGCAAACATTTCCCATCCTCCCTCCTGTCCTCCAGCTCCGGTCACCCAGTGCACCTCCTCAGCCCCAGATGGGGAATAAACTCTTCGGCAAGGCCAGGCATGGGTCAGCTTTGATGTTTATTGCTTGCTCGGTGACACGGCACGGCACGGCTGAGCTTGCATCCCTGCAGGATGGGCAACGCGGAGCAGAACAGGCAACGCGGAGCAGAACATTTTGGGCACATGGGCCTCGCTGCGGGTGGGTGCGAGCTGTCTCCCCACCGGCACCCTCACCAGCAGGACCCGATGGGGACGATGCTGGGACTCCCACCACAGCTTCGGGGTGCGCTGGGTCAGGGCAGGGAGGAAGGGGCTCGTGCTGTGAAGCAGCGGGTGGTTATTGATGATGGTGAGGATGGTCACTGCGGGTGTGGGAAGGGTCAGGCAGTACAGCTGGTCTGGACAAGCCCTGAGCGAGCGGAGAGCCTGGCTCCTGGTGCCTCACTGCGAGTGGACGAGTGCCCCGGCGCCCTGCCCAAAGCCAAAGCCCTTGGGACCGAAGTTCTTGGCGTAGCAACCTGCAGAGGACGGGAAAGGAGAAACGGGTAAGGCCGGCAGATGAACATGCGCAGGTCCTCCTCTCGAAGCAGGCGTTGCCGAAACAGGACAGGGTTTGCTGTACTTGTTGGCCAAACAGAGAGGCCCCAGGCGCAGTGGAAAATCCCCCAGCTCTGTGGCCAGCCGGCGCAGCCAGTCCCCGTAGGCAGCTGCTGGGGCCACCAGCTCCCCAAACCTCAGTCCCATCCCTGCACAGGGGTTTTCACCCTTCGGAGTCCAGGACAAGCCAGCGAGGAAGGTGTCACTCACCTTTGCAGTAGATCTCCCCATCTTTGTCTGCCAGGGTGGTGGACTCCAGGCTTTTGCCACACTTGGCACAGCGGAAGCAGGACTTGTGCCAGGACTGCGGGACAGAAGCAGAGCCCGGTCGGACAACGCCCGGGGACAGGGCAGCAATGCTTTGGCTACCAAACAGGGTCACTTTTCTGTTTCTGACCCAAAGCGGTTGGCAAAGAGATCTGAATGGGATGAAAGCTTTTCTCTGGAAAGAGCAGTCCTCCCAGCCCCAGGGGGAAGATACAGAGAGGAAACATCAAGTGTGGCCACCGCTCCCATGTTGATCTGGTTTTAGAGAGCTTTCGCTCTCACTCGCAGCAGTCATTTGTACAGTAATTTGTACAATAATTTGTAAGGAGCAATCACCCCCCTCTTTGGAGATTGTCCTCTCTGAAGCACCATGATAAATCCCCCGAGTTACCCAGCTGAGATCCACTGCTGCTGTACGTTAGCCTGGGGGGTGGGAGCAGGGTTGGGACACCTGCCCCCACACAGCTACAGCTCCAAGGAAGGCAGCGAACAGATACTAAGAATGCAGAAATCAGCCAGTGTTTAAAAATAAAACTCCCCCCAGGACTCCGCCAGTCCTCTGGGGATAAATGAGCTCACAGCCCTTGAGCAGACCTAGAGTAGCCAGAGCTGCTCACAGAGGAATTTAAATAAACACTTTGGAAAACATGAAACCTTTTTTGGAAAAAAATGTGAAATTAGGGGGCTGGAGGAGGAGGTAGCAGATGGAGTCACCCAGCAAACATTAGCACATGAAATACATGCTCTGGAATCCTCTCCATGTTTGATTGAGTGTAATTGCTTTGCCAGCTTTGGTTCCCTGTAAACATCGACCCCAGAAGCCTACCAGGAAGCTCGGATCATGATTTTAAGGGTAAGTTTGGCTTCTGACCCTGGGCTGACCCTCAACGTGTCCATCACAAATCCCTGTGCTGCCAGCTGGGGTATGATGATGCGGGGAGGCTCTTTCTGTTGACTAGATGCCTCCTTTCCTTTCTCTGGGGACAGAGGACAAACACAGAAACCCCAGGGAGGGTTGACCCAGCAGGGGTGACCCAATGTCACCAGCGAGGCGGTGAGGCTTTCCCAGCACGGCCATCCCGTCCCCTGCGGCACAAAGCCAAGCAGCCTGACCCGGCTGCCTTGGCAAGCTCTGCACATGTACCCGACCTCGGAGGGAAGGCTGCTTCGAGGCAGGGACCTCACCCAGGGTCCCAGGGCTGACAGACCAGATGGTGTCCCCATGCCTTACTATGCTTCCCAGAGCTGGGCTAGGATAAGGCCACAGCTCGGGACACATAGGACCCTGGTGAAGTGATGAACTTGACATAGGAAGTCTAGGACTGTTGCAGAGTACCCTTTACATCTGACCCTGAGCAGACCCAGTCCACCAGCAGAACAGCCCAAGAGAGATGCACCGAGCCCGCGCCCACACCTCCAACCACCTTGCCCTGCCTATGGGCAGCGCTGACCACTGGAATTCATTCCCTGCCCCAAATCTGGGCTGCGGCATCCCAGCCTGCGGCAGAGGGTGGAGAAGGCTCGCTGGACATTGCACTTGTTCAGTTAGCGGTGGCAGTGGCCATGGCCCACATCACTGCTCAACCTCCCAACACATCTAGCAGCAGGGACGTCCACTGTGACCTCTGCTGAGCAGTGCTCCGAATATTTACTATAAAATGTATTTCTCTCCCATCTACAAGTCTGTAAGAGCAATGCAGCGTGGAGAGCCTGGTTTCCAGACATGCCCAGCTCTCCTTTTGGTGCCAGGCTTCCAGGTGAGCATGGCCACCGGACCCCAATCCCAGCCCTGGCTGGAGGCACTGGCACCCTGCAGCAGTCTGTGGGTCAGGTCAAGACCTTCTCTGAAGGTCTTCCTGCCACACAGAAATTTGTGGCATGTGCATGCCCCATCCACTCCATCCCCCTTCTTACCTTTCCAGCTCCAATCACCTTCTCAGCTGCATACACCGCTTGACCACAGCGAGGGCACCCATCAGCACCTCCGACTTTCTGGGCCATTCTGGATGCATTAGGGTTGGTGGGTCGGTGGGGCTGGCCCCTGTGGATGGGAGGGAGTTCATTATCAGGGCTGCACAAGCAGGATGGAGGAGGGAAGTGCTATGGGATCACAAATCCCAGCCTAGGTTTGAAGAGCCTGGAGCTTTAGGCACAATGTGTTGAGCCCCATGGAAACTTCAGCCTCACGGCTGTGTGCTAGGAGGGGATGGGCAGCATGCTCAGGCAACGGGGACATGTCCCATCAAGCCCCATCCCACCCTGCAAATAGGGTTCAGCGGGTTTCCCCCGAGGAGCAGAAAGGCAGGGCAGCCCACGGCACTCTCCAGATTAGGAACTGCTGGAAGTTCAGCATGGGCTGCACAGCCAAGCATCGCAAGCAGACAGATGTGGGGGAAAAGGTGCCCACAACAGCCCCAGTTTCAAAAACAAAATTAAACTCACTCTTCATATTTGATTCCCAGAGACTCGCCCCTGTCAGTGCTCAGGGTCCCTGCTCCCTGCCCGTATCCATAGCCCTTGGGGCCGTACTTCTTGCCGTAGCAGGACTTGCAGTAGATCTCCTCACCGTGCACAGCAACAGTGGTGCTGTCCAAGTTCTTCTTACAGACCACTAGAAAAGAGGGGAGGGCCGTGCCATTAGCCTGCACATCCAGAGCTCACTAGTTTGCTGGAGAAAACAAGTCCTCACAAAGGATAGTACAGCTCAGCTTTCAAGGAGCAAGGAAACCCTAGACAAGATCCTCGTTAAACGGAGTGCATGCAAAACAGCCAGAGATAAGGATCACAACAAGAACATTGTCTGGCTTTAAAAGGAAGCAACCACCAGAGCTCCAGTTGATACTAAGAAAAAGCTCTGTTAACTCTCTCGGTGCTGGTATCCTGGAGATGCACTTAAACCAGGGGGGGGGGCCGAAATTTCCCTTCAAATCACTGCAGGATTCACTAGCACAGGGATGGGCATCTCTGCCCCACCGCAGCTCTGCCACACTCCTAGTCCGCTGCAAATATGCAGCGATAGGCACTTGGGGGAAAGTCATGTAAGCAAATCTATTTTTCCTCATGTTTAGACAGACAAAAAGCAGCCCTGCAGCCATTTCCACAGCTGACGGACTGTCAGCATTTTGGCACATTACGCTATTGTGCACAGTTGACTCTCCAGACCCTGAGACCACGATGGAAGATGTTCATGCTAACGTGTGTCACCCCTGGTCCATGACATGATTACGGTGTGTGCATAGGGTGGTCTCAGGTGAGGAACACTAACTTAGCTGGGTGTTCAAGCCTTGGGGATCAATATGGGACCTAAGATGGGACAGGAGGAGACAGCAGCCAGGCTCGGGGTCCCAGCTGAGCCCATCCAGAGCTTGAGCTTGGTGCTGGGCTCAGGCCACACAGACTCTTCTCCCGATTTTTAGGTTTTCCTGACTCATGTCCCAGCTCTGATCTCAGCCTCCACGTTGGCTTCCAAACCCTTCCTGGAACATGCCGCCCAGCAAGCCGGAGCGGGAGGTGAGCAGCACCCAAACGGGGCCCGCAGTGATCTCCAGTGTTTACCTGCCCCGGTGCAGGATCCAGACGCCTGGGGCAGAGTCCACAGCGCTGGCAGCCAGCCCCAAAACAGATCCTGTTACAGCTGCGACACAGCCTTCCTCTATCCTCCTTACATGCCTTAAATGTCGAGGCTCCCAGCTCACCAGCAGAAAAGTTTCTTGGCCTTTACCAATATCGCAGGAA